ATTTTGTCCAGAATAAACTCTACTTTTAAAGGGTGAAAAAGGCGAACGATATTTCGCTTAGGGTCTTCGTGCTTTTAATATAGTATAGATATAGATATAGATTAAGATTTTATCGGATCTAGTAAATAATTATATCCTTCAAACTTTACCAGCAAGATAAAGAATTAAAGAATAGTAAAGATCTCTCGAAAAAAGAAGATAGCAAAATCAACAGAACATCCAATAATTCAATGCAATAATTTTTCAACATCACTATTTCTGGGAGCTATTTACAAATGATCACTACTTCATTAAGCTCATATATTCTACTATTAAGGATTACATTAACCACTAAAATTAAGTAATTAACTAGCTTTTGCCAATAAGGATTACATTAGAGGCATTGAAATGGGATTCTGCATCTTTTTCAAAGACTTTATTTCTAAGCCTAAAGTCAAGTGCAGATCACCTGTGCAAACTCTTGTTCTAAATCTCTATTATGTCAAACAACTCCAATTCTAAAATAACAAACAAACAACATACTCCCTATGACTACCTTAAAACTGGAGTTGCTCTGAACTGCTTAATCCGCGTGCTAAATTGACCATTTTCAGTGATTAATTCCTATTCACAAACTACTTCTACCATGTAGATTTTGACAGTTGATCGATATCAACAGACACTATGCTTCTTCAGTAGAACTTGGTAGTGGTAGAGAAAGTAATTGAGCTCTACATCCCAAAGGAAGAATAGTTGCTCTACCACTGGATGTACGTTCGATTCCTGGATATAGTTCCCCTTTGGTCCGCTTGCTTTGTGATGTGAGACGACTTACTAATAGTTCCAATGCTTCTTTCATCCATCCGTTTTGACACAGCCTTCTTGCTTCGCATACATTCATCTGTAATTGGTTTTTCGACAGGCTAAACATCAGTAAATGCGAAGACGTGCTTTTATATTTCATAAGGAAACTATGTATTCTGGTCTAAGAGAGGTACCATGAGGTGACATGACACCTCCCTCAGACTAGAATATATATATATATGTATATATATAAAGAATGGATTGTTGCATACCCAAGTTCTTTCGCGAATCTCTTTCTCAGGCCAAGAGTCTAGTTGTTCTGTTACAAACAAAGGAAACATGTG